CATATGAGATTATTTTTGTTGGTCAAAAATAGTTGAATATCAGCAATTTTCTATGGATTGGCCAAATATGAACATTTAGCTATATTTCTCAGTCATTTTTCTTTGAATAAAGATTGCTTTGAAAAAAATGTGGGATTCTCAGCCTTTAGAATAGATGTATTATTTAACTTTTCATGTTTTATTTCTTTCCGTAACCACCTCCAAAATCCAGTTATCCAGTTGAATGGACACCAATAGTAAGAGGAGGTAACTCAGCCCTGGCTGGTGTGGCTCAGTGGATTGAGTGCCAGCCTGCAAAACCAAAATGTGCTGGTTCGATTCCTGGTCAGGGCACATGCCTGGGTTGTGGGCCAGGTCCCCAGTTGGGGGCGTGTGAGAGGCAACTGATGAATGTATCTTTTGCACATTGATGTTTCTCTCTCTTTCTCCCTCCCTTCCCCTCTCTTTAAAAATAAATAAATAAAATCTTTTAAAAAAGGATGAGGTAACATAAAAAATAAAATTCTATATTAGATTTAAATTCCATAAATTAAGAATCATAAACATGTAAGTCCTAAGTTGATCCTCTTTATTTTAAAAGGTAAATCAGTTAACAGTTATTTCTGAATTACAGAAACCTTTTATTGCTAAAATTCAAAATGATCATTTCTCTAGTCTCCATCCCTTTCTGCCTTCCCATGTGGACTAAGTCGTTTCCCCACAAACATTTACTGAATGCTTACTTGATGCCACTCACTGTTCCAAGTTTTGGGAACACAGACTGAATCTCCTGCTGTAATGGACTCGCAATCTTATAGGAGAAGAGGGACTATAAGGGATAAAGTGAATAAACATGTTATATAATTTATTTTAGGTGATAAACTAAGGACTGGCTTGGGTGTTAGAGGAGGGGTTGTTGTAAGTGAGGCTGTTACTAAGAGGGTGACATTTGAACGAAAACCTAAAGGGGGGGTGAGCTATGCGGGTGTGTGGAGGAGAAATGGCCAGGTGAAGGGATCAGCCTTAGGTGTTGACAGCAAGAAGGCTAAGGCTGACCTCAGCACAGGAGAGAGGAGTAAGAGGCTGGTGAGGTGCATGAGGGGCTTTGGGACCTGGCCACTGAGGACTGTGGCTTGTGAGTGGAATGATGCGTGAGGCCACCTGACATCCCGGTGAGGGGGTCCCCCTTGCTGCTGTGTTGAAAGTGGACCCAGGATGAAACAGAGCAATGGTAAGAAGCTGTTTCTACCCTCTGGGTGAGAGGGAGACACATGTGGCCCAGAATGGTAGCAGTGGAGACTGCCAGAAGAGGTTGGATTCTGGGTGCTTCTTGCAGGCAGAGCTGACAGATCTGCTGAAAGGGTTGGATGTAGAAGGGTAGAATAATGGAGGAGGCAAAGTTTTCTTCCTCATGCCGGTCAGCTGGATAGAGAAAGATGGGGAAGGCAGGGGGAAGGGCAGGAGCTTGGTTTTGGTAGTAAGTTCAAGGTGTTAGACATCCACATGGATCTTGCTGTTAGCGAGCAGTTGGATATATGAGTTGGAGAGCACAGAAGAGGGCTGGGCTGCAAATATTTGTTTGAGATGCCTTGCCACATAGTTTGTATTTAAAGTCATGAGGCAAGGGAGCAGATGCAAGGACTGAGCCCTGGGGTACTCTTGCATTAAGAGGAACTGCACTGTGCAGCCTCTAGAAACCCCAGAGAGCAGGCCCTAAGGTCAGAGGAACATCAGGAGATTCCTGGAGGAAGGAGAGAGTGGCCCTGGTTAGAGGCAGTGGCCTGAGCATAAGACCCCCACTATTGTATGTCACTGCTGACTTTGGAAGAGGAACATTCTGCTAAGACCAAAAAAACAAATGAAAAAAACCCTGCCCTTTCGGGGAAGAAAAATTAGGAAAGGCAAACACAGCCCAGGGTCCGATGGTTGGATCAGCAGAGAGTGACTGAGTGGTCCTTTGTGTGGGGCCCCCAAGTGGCCAGCCATAGTCAACTCCAGTGCACCAGGCGCTTTCGGGTACAGAATAGGGGTGACTAGGCTGTGTTCCAGGTTGGCACATCTACAGGGTACCCCGCTTGATGGTGCTGTCACTAGAGGGCACCATATATACCACTCGGTTCCACAAAGTACCCTCAGAAAGCAGAGAGGCTGAGAGTGGCTTTAATCAGGCTCAAGGAATCAGCTTGTTTCACCCACAGGAGGGATATTTCTGTTTTTTAGAGGAGCTGCCAGCCTTTCCTGGTGAGGCCTAGTGCAACCCTTGACTGTGGGTTGATTGGAAGTTTCAGTGGGCAGACATTTTCTTGTATCATTGAAGCTGAATCTGCAGGGGCTCTGACTTCTGGGGTATGAGCAGGGTGCTGCTAACTGGGCAGCATTCAGAGATGCGCCCTATTCCTGGGGCTCCATGTGCCTCAGTACAGGCACAGGGCCCTTGCTCATGCTAGACTCTCTCACCGGTTTCCTTTGCATTCCTTAATTTTTAAAAAATATTTTATTTATTTTTTATTTTTAGAGAGGGGGGAGAGAGGGAGAAAGGGAGAGAGAGAAACATCAATGTGTGGTTGCTTCTCACGGGCCCCCTACTGGGGACCTGGCCTGCAACCCAGGCATGTACTCGGGTTGGGAATTGAACTGGCAACCTTTTGGTTTGCAGGCTGGCATTCAGTCTACTGAGCCACACCAGTCAGGGCTTCCCCTTAATTTTTTCTCAATTAAAAAAGTATAGAAGTTGCCCTGGCTGGGTTGCTCAGTTGGTTGGAGCATTGTCCTGTGTACCAAAAGGTTGCAGGTTCGATTCCTGGTCAGAGCACATACTAGGTTGTGATTTTGATCCCCAGTCAGGTTGCATATGGGAGGCAACCGGACTGATGTTTCTCTCTCCCTTCCTTTCTCTTTAAAACCAGTAAACATATCCTTAGGTGAGGATTAATAATAATAATATAGAAGTAAAACATGCCCATCAAGTAGAACAATATGGAGGAATATAGAGTAAGCTATAATAGCTCCTCCTCAACTTCAAAAGCCCCCAGAGGTGACCACTGTTACTTCCAGACATTTCAAGGTTCCCTGTCCCCCACCCCCCATTTCTATGCGGGCAGATGGTACCACACATTCTGTCCCATCACTTGCTCTTCCACTAGTGCCCTGTCTTGGGTTTTGTTCCACATTTTGTCCCTCTGGCCCTGCTGTCTCTCCCCAGGCAGCAGTAGCCCCTGTTCAGCCTTCCTGCTCCAATGATATTGATTTCAGTTGTCTCTGGTTTGAGGCTCTGTGAAAAAATGTTTTGATCACCCTCTTGGCTTTTGTGTCTTTCTGCTTTAGTGAAGATTATATACACAGGGTAAGTTCCTACAAATGGAATTTCTCAGGCCAAGGTTAGGGACCCTTTGTTTTGAGACATGTTGCCAAGTCATCCTGAAATGTGCCTGTTTTCCTGCTCACCAACCAGAGTGCCTGTGAAGGCCCATCTCCCTCACACTGGGCTCACCAGGCTTCTAGAGTTTGCTAGTCTGGAAGGCAGTAAAAGCTACCTGCTTTAATTCTGGTTCCTGTCTGATGACACAAGCTAAACTAGCTACCCCAGGCCCCTCACAGCGTTTTTTTTCCTCCCCAGAGGGCTCTCCTGGATGGGCTGCCTCCAGCAGGCACAGTGGCCAGGCCCTGGCCCGGACTGGCTGCTGCTTGAGGGCCCTGGCGGAAGGGAGGGAGAAAGAGGAGAGAAACATCCATGTGTGGTTGCCTCTTACACGCTCCCGTCTGGGGACCTAGCCCGCAACCCAGGCTTGTGCCCCAAGTGGAAATCGAATTGGTGACCCTTTGGTTTGCAGGCCAGCGCTCAATCCTCTGAGCCATACCAGCCAGTGGCACAAGGAAATTTTAAAAGTGAGTCTAGCCATGGTTTTGTCTAGCAAGGTGTTGATAGTGTTTTGACCACAACTCAAAGATAGAAATAAGTGTATCATAGTGACCTGCACTGTGTGTGTGAGAATGTTTCACAGGACAATATTTCTCCCCATCACTTGGGTGCACGCAGATATTTTTTACAATACTTTTTTCAAAGGAAATGAGAACTAGCATCTCTGTTCTCCCTAAGAGGCCTCTAGAAGTTCTAAAGAGCATATGCTAGGGTTTGGGAATTTCCTGTGGCCTTAAGAAATCTAGAGAACATCGTCTACAGGGACATCCTTAGAGTGAGGCCCTAAGATTCGATTGTAAAGGGGAAGCTGTGAGGAGACTCTGACCTGACCTTCGCAGCTCTCCCAGGGCTTTCTCCCTCACGCTGTTCCAAATCTGTGTCCTACTGTTTGTTCAACTTGGAGTCTGGGCCAAGCTCTCTGGGCTGTCTCCCTGTTGTCACACACTGGGTTCAGGGGCACAGGGCCAGGGTGTGGGGCCCAAGAAAGCCTGGGAAACCCAACCACCTTACAAAGCTTCTGTGGAAGGTTTTCCTCCAACTCCCTTCCTAACTTTCTCTTGCTTTAGGTTGAAATGGTGGCCCTTCTCTAATTATAGTGCCTGCCTGGCCTAATTATGTTGGGCTAATTTGTTAATGGCTTTGGGAATGCAGAGCCTTAGCATTGGGCAGTGAGTGGCATGGCCCCAGGGTACTTGCAGGGCAGTTTTGCTAAGGAGCCCACTGAAGCATTGTCAATGGCCCTTGAGCCCCATGGAAGGTGGGTGCCCTCTGAGGAGCCCCTTGTCCAGCTGGCACTCACCTAGGGCTTCTCTGCCCACCGGTTGTCAGTATGGGTTTTTCCCTCCCCAGAAGGACCTTGTCATTTTCATTCTATTTAAACCAATGGTCCTTAATGCCCTAATATCAAAAAATACTTTTGGTTTTATTTTTCATTAAAGCAGTATCTTTTTGCAATAGAAACTTCAGGAACTACAGAAAAGGAAAAAAACCCACCCCTGACCCCACCCTAATAACGCATGACCCCAAATGTGTTAACATTTTGGTGGAGGAGTCTCATGACTGGTTCCTCTGCTCTTGTCTGACTCATTGCGTTGTCTGCCAGGGAAGTCCCACCTGGCCATTGTGCAGAAGGTGAACAACGAGGGTGAAGGTGACCCCTTCTATGAGGTTCTGGGCCTGGTCACCCTGGAGGACGTCATTGAGGAGATCATCAAGTCTGAGATCCTGGACGAGTCGGATATGTACAGTGAGTCCCACCCTCCCCACAGGCCCAGAGTCCTTTCCCCCTTAGGCCTGACATCTGCTGTCCTGGGTGGTAAGTCCACAGTGCAGGATGTAGGCTGCGGTGGTTTGGGAGCATGTTGCTTAGACCAGGGAGCAGAGGCTGTCTTGGTTCCCCCTGCCTTTGTGCCTTAGCACCAGCCTGGGGACCTGCCCTGGCCCAGGCACTGCAGCTTCAGTGCGGAGGGAGGAACTGCTGAGCTGAGAGCTGGCAAAGTGGTTCCAGTCTATTTCTGAGTCCACTGTGGGGACAGCATGCTCAGCTCCAGATTCATTCTCTTGCAGCTGACAACCGAAGCCGGAAACGGGTGTCTGAAAAGAACAAACGGGACTTCTCAGCCTTCAAGGATGCTGACAACGAACTCAAGGTGAAAATTTCACCTCAGCTACTCCTAGCTGCTCACCGCTTTCTGTCCACAGGTAAGAGTGAAAGGAGGGCCTTCATCGTTGGTGGGACAGTCACAGAGGGAAAAGGACTGGGTCCCTGGCTACTTCCCCCATAGGGTGAGGCTATACAGATGCAAAGTGCAGGGAAACCCAGATGGGGCCAGGCAGCTCCCACATCCTTGGGTGAGCCCTGTGATTTGCTTTCCCTCTTGCAAACTTCTAGGAAGCGTCAAGTTACTTTTGAAATAAATAAGCCCCAGGAGGACCTGAAATGGGCTCATCGAGTCTCGTTGAGTAGGAGGGAGAAGTAGGCCCTTGCACGTGCTGTGGGCCCACCCAGATGCAGTGCACGGTCCTTGTCTGGCTCATCCCCTTGAGGAGCCTGTACTAGCTCTGTTCTTGTCTCTCCCACCTCCCCTCTACCTGCATATGCTGGACTTGACTGCAGGATTTGACCTCTAGATCAATGTCATGTCTCTCACCTGGGATTCACAGCTCCCTTGGGGACCTGGGTGATGGATGAGAAAGAGCCTGCCCACTCCCTCCCCTGACACCAATCTGACTTTAATAAATCCTTTTCCTTTGCTTTTTTCTGGCAGGATATGGATGATGTTGATAATGATAATAATGATAATAACATTTATCAGACATTTTCCATATGCCAATAATGTGTCTGAGTGCTTTACATGTATTAACCTGTTTAACCTCACAACAACTCTGAAGTTTTTAATTCCCATTTTACAGATGAGGAAACTGAGATACAGGTTAAATAACTTGCCAAGGTCATACCCTGGTAGTGCAGGGGCCCTTGTTCAAGCCTAGCAGGCAGACAGACTCTAGTCTGACCCGCCTGGAGCTTAGGGCTCTTCCTTCCCTCAGAACTAAATGGAAGGTCCTAGCAGTGAGAGAGCTGTCCTTGCACTGCAGTGATTGTGTCCTGGCGGGCCCAGCCTGGCCCCATATGAAATCCTCCTCTTTCCCCCTGCAGAGGTCCCCCAGTTCTGCCCTTCCCTGATATCAGAGAAGATCCTGCTTCGGCTGCTCAAGTACCCAGATGTCATTCAGGAACTCAAGTTTGATGAGCACAACAAATACTATGTCCGCCACTATCTGTACACCCGGAACAAGCCAGCTGACTACTTTATCCTCATCCTGCAGGTGAGTGCCTACCTGCACCTGCTCCCCCTACTGCTGAGATGGTGGGGACGCAGGGCTTTCCTGCCCAGAGACTGTGTATGGCCTGCTCTGAGCCAGTGTTCTCTGTTGTCTGTTCTCTTCGGAGTGACCACCTTTGAGCCCTCAGGTCAGGTCCCCCAAGCTCTTCCCTTGGGCTCAGAGTGCCATTACCCCTCATGTCTTCCTTTTGCCTCATTGTTTTTGTTTTGTTTTGTTTTATTTTTCTCACTTTGTAACCTTAACCCTGTGTTCTTTCAGGGGAAAGTGGAGGTGGAGGCTGGGAAGGAGAACATGAAGTTTGAGACGGGTGCCTTCTCCTACTATGGGACCATGGCCCTGTCCTCAGGCCCCCCTGGTGAGTTGCTGGGCTGTCCTGGTGCTGCCCTCCAGCGGCCCTGGAGTGGAGCAGCAGTGAGTGGCCCCCAGCACCTTGGGACCTAGATGGTTCATAACCTAGGTGGTTTGAGGAGAGGGAGACCAGTGAGTGCTAGAGCCACTGGGGCCTGGAGGAGGTGGCCTGGAAGAGCAGAGTGACTTGCTCCTTTGGACAGGATTCATAGGATGGGATGGGGTGGGGAGGGATTCTGAGCAAAGGCCTGGAAGGAGCTGAGAGTGTGTCCTGAGATAGGAGGGAAACTGCCCTGCCACAGGGGAGGAAAACTGAGGAGTAAGGATGAGTTGGGGAGCCCCAGAAAGTTGATGGTGTGTGGTTGTGATAGTAAGCAGGAAGCTGTTAATGGTCTTTGAGCAGGGGAAATATGATGGTAGACTGGGCCAGCTGGTAAGCAGGCCATGGTGGCCCTCACTGGCCATCATGGGAGGTGGAGAGCTGAGAGAGGAGGCAAGTGGATGGAAGCCACAGGGCTTTGTCTATGAGAACTGGGAGGGGGGAACCTAGGGATAGGGGTGAGGGTGTCCAAAGTGCCCGCAGTTGGGAGCCAGACCAGGGCAGGTGGCAGACAGGTTTGATTTCTTGGGGCTTAGCTGCTGCCTCTTGGTTAAGTGTCAGTTGTGATAGAATAAAGGGACTTGAGGGCAAAAAGAATACTGGACAACCTCCAGGAGAGATTATGGCAAGACCAAAGAAGGGCCTCTCTGGCCACCCCGGTGTCCTCTGCTTCTTCAGTCCTGGTTGGTCCAGATGCCCCTTGCTAAAGGGGCCAGCACAGCTCCTCACTCATCTTGGGACCCCTCCAAGCCTCAAGACGGGCCCTAGTGGCTGTGGGCTGGAGAGTGGAAGCCCACTTTGGTGCTGGGGGACAGGCTACACTGTGAGGGGGGGTGCTGCAGCTCCTGGGAGCCTTGGCAGTGCCAGTTGTCCTTTGACCAAGAGGATCCTGTGTGGGAACCTGGGCATCCATGCTTATTGACCCAGTTCAGCTCATCCATGGGCATGACACAGCTCTGCCCCTCTACCAGCATGAGTGGCCTCTGAGGAAGGGAAGAGGGGAAGAGGAGAGACAAGACTCCAGAGCCTTGGGGAGGACTTCTCTGCCTCTCCTAAGAGCATCTCTTGCCATTCAGCTTGGGGAAATCTTGTTCAGAGGGGCACACAGTTATGGGACATTTCCTCCAGGTACTCTCCCTGCAGCAGTGCCTCAGAGACCTGGGTCATGCCCCTGGGCTCTCTTCCTTGACCTGGAGACTCTCAGTTCCCATTTGGAGTGGCCAGAAGGGAAAGGAGATGGCTTCTCAGGGCTCTGGATTCCCTGTGGGAACTTTGGGACCAGTCCACCAGCATCCCCTGAGCACCCTCCCTGTCAAAGCCGTGTCTCCTTTTCCATTGTGCCCCCTCGCTGCTATAGGGAGCCTGGACAGCGGGTCTGCTTCTCCAGCCCATTCCTGTTGGCTCCATGTTCTGCCTCCTGACCTGGACCCCACCCACCACTGACCTTTTCCTCTTTTGCTCCAGTACCTTCAACCCAGGTCGGGTGTCCGCCTGGCAAGCGGAACTCCCTACTCTCCCGGCTCTCAGGTAACATGGCATGGCTGGAGAACTCTGCACTGCCACCTGTCGCCTGAGCCCACACACTGCAGCTGCATTAACCTGCCCCACTAGGCACTGGGGCTTCTCACCTGTTCACACTTAAGGGCCAGCTTGGCCTGGGGCCCAATTACTAGGTGGCTTTGTCCTGGTCCTGGAAGGGCTTTCCTAAAGGTTCTTTAATCTTTGAAAAGGTGTGCACACATGCACATGCCATACAAAAACTCACTCTCTCTCTCTCTCTCTCTCAGATGATATGCTAGGATGGAGAGTTACTCCCAACCAGGCCAGATGAGCCTAGCTGTTCAGCCACCCTGATCAAGGCCACTCACAGATTGGTCATATTAGCTTTCTCTAAAAAATGTTCTACCCTTCTCCACAGGCTTTGCTTTTCATTCTGTGACTGCTGGTGTCTTTCTAGCAGAGGTGTCAGCGGCTGGGCAGTTAGCAGTGCAGCCACAGTCAGGCTGTCCTGGGAACGCCATCTCCACAGCTACCAGCTAAATGATTCTGAGGGACTGACTCAGCCTCCCTAAGTCTTGGTTTCCTCATATACACCCTTAAAATTGTTGGAAGCAATGAGGGAATTGATGTAAATGTTTAGTTAGAGCTCAATTATTATTTGTTTTACAGCTAAAATGTGGCAGTCTGAGTATTTAGGAAAAAGCCAAATGCCATATGGTATCTCTGGCCTTTGGTATGTTGCACTCCTGAGCCCTGTTCCAGGACTGGTGGGACTATGTTGGCCAGACTTATTCCTACTCACTCGAGGGATCCCTGTTCCGCACGTTCTGAGGCAGCAGACGGGGGCAGGAGATGCTGGCCTTGTCACCAGAATCCTGGCCTGGCCTGGTGTGCCCTGAGGAGGTTGAGAGAATGGCTCGTGCCTTGAGCTCCAGTCCCAGTGTGTTACCTAGAGGAGTTCCTGAGCCTCCACAGGCCTAAGGACCTAGCACCTTGCTTAACTGTTTCCCATTTAACAATCCTACATCTGTTTTTTTTTTCTTTTTCACTGTACCAAAGCACACTTTACTATTGATCCTCTTCTAGAGAAATAAAATAAAATTTAAAAGGTGACTAAAAAGTTACTGGTCCCTTTCAAACACAGTCTACTTTTGACTGTGAGAGGAAGCTGGAAGCCGGTAATGGCCTCTGAGCAGGGCATGTCTGATGAGAACAGACAGGCCATTCGGCCTTCACTGACCAGCTTCCCTCTTTCTCTTCTGCACTTTCTTGTTTCACGTATGGCCAGGAGTTCATGCATACGCCGTTTGAATTCTATTTTTACTTGATCTGGGACAAGAGATGCTTTCCCATAAGCTTTCTAGTTAGAGCCACAGGGTCCCATCAAGTAGATGTGCCTTCATTTGCTATTCCCCCTTATGCATGGGGTATGTATTTTAAATAATAACATGATGTAAACCTCTTTGTGAAAAATGTTTTCTACATTTAAGATTATGTCCATAGAATATTCTTTTAGAAGTAGAATTGCCAAATTAAAAATTCCTTCTTTGTATATATTGTTTTGTTTTAATCATAAAAGTAACATAGCTTATTGGGAAAATAGAAGAGTCTTAAGAAAATTAAGAAGCATTGTAATTTCATTATTCAGAAACAAACACTTTGTATTTTGTTTTATTTTTCTTTAGGGCCTCTATTTTTAATAGGCCATGTCACCAATTTGTGTTGGTTTTAAATTCACTTCCTGTTCTGGAATGTTAATAAGCATTAATGAAAAGCATTCTATGATCCAAATAATTAATGTGATGTATTTTTTTAATTTTTATAAGAGTTTATTTGAACTGAACTGATGACAGTTGCCAGGAAGCAAGATCTCAAATGCTCCCCTTAATGTGGAATATTGATATCCTCTTTCTTCTATCCTATTTTCTTCTAGAACTTCATCAGAGGCGTTACTTAGGTTGGAGTAAGAGATACATGCACATGACCCTCTAATAATTGTGCACCACCCCATTGTGGAATGTCCACACAGTTTTCCCATGTTTTCTGAATGATGTTCTAAGATGGCACATTACTGAATCACTCCCACTTTGTTAAAGCTCTATTGGTCATTCAGTCACCCAGATGTTTGCTCTCTTCACTGAGCTATTTGACTGAACCACTAACTTAGTAATTAGTTAGTAATTTAGTACTTAACTAAGCAAATCAGCTTAGTCTTACTTCCTGTTTGTTTGACACAAGCCAGCATGCCTTCACAGTTAACTTATTCGTGGATTTTATTGTTTTCTAAGTGTTTTTTTAAAATTAGAGCTAATGATGCATAATAATGTGTGCAGTTTGTTTTTCAGAATAAGGAGTGTGATCCTTCCTCATTTGAGGTTGAATCATCCCCCTTTTCTGGTTACAGTCAACGGAATGAGGCCTGAGCTGCCCCTGGTGGTGGGAAGAGACACCGCCAACACTGCCCAGGCTTTGCCTCCCAGGAGGAGGACTGGAAACTGGGAATGGGAAGCCTGAAGTTCTGGAGCCTCTAGTTCCTGGGAAAGGAACCTGCTGCCTGCAGACACCTCTCAGGCTGGCTGGGGCTCAGCAGACACCAGTGGGTAGGACTGTCCACATAGAACAGGTCATATGCAGAACAAATGTTTGATCTCTTAAGAGCATTTTTAGTTGTGAGCAGGGTGTCATGTTGAGGTGTGTGTGTATGTGTATGTTGTGAGAGTGCAAATTGTGTAATCTTTAATGTAATTCAAAGATATGCGGTCTATGTCCATTGACACGAGGTATTACTGAGACGAGGGTAACCATTGTGCTGCCCTTGATTGATCAGTTGTTTGGGTTCTGTAGCATAAACTTCCTGAGTCTTTGGCTTTGTTTTTTGTTTGTTTCGGTAGGCTTTTTAATAGTTATTGCGCAACACTGCTAAACAAACTAACTCACTTGCTTTGATGAGGTCAGAGCTTCTGTGGTGAGAGCTTCTTATTGTCCTTAAGAAGTGTTCTCATTCCTGGTGGGGGCATCCTTGGGACAAGGCTAGACAAGAGGCTGTGAGGGCGGCAGGGTGGCGGGGCCTGACATCCTCTGTCTTCCCACAGACCGCTCCCCATCGCACCCCATGCCCCTGAGCCGCTCAGCCTCCCTCAGTTACCCGGACCGCACAGACCTCTCAACCACAGCCCCCTTGACAGGCAGCAGCAACCAGTTTGGCAGCTCTGTCCTGGGCCAGTACGTCTCTGACTTCAGTGTCCGGGCGCTCATGGACCTGCAGTACATTAAGGTCAGTGCTTCCTGCGGCCACCATCTGGGCCTTTGGATCACTGCCTCGGGAATCAGCAACTCTTTTTTCTGTCCACTACCCAGAATGCAGGGCCCAGGCCTGACATGAGTGTCTTCCTTAGTCTTGCTGCTTAGTCTTGATGGGTTTCCAGAGACTCCCTCTGCTCATATCCTCCTTCTGGACTTGCAGCCTCTGTCCTTCTGGTCCTGCTTTCCCAGGTCTCTGGTGGCCTTGGCCTCCCAGCCTTGCTCTTAGTGACCCTCTCCCCTCCTTCGTGCAGATCACCCGGCAGCAGTACCAGAACGGGCTGCTGGCCTCACGGATGGACAACTCCCCTCAGTTTCCTTTGGATGGGTGCACCATCTGCACGGAGAACTTGGTGGACAAGCCTGAGCTGCCTGTGGTGGACGAGACCACGACTCTCCTCAATGAGCGCAATGCCACGCTGCACAAAGCTGGTCCTGAGAGCACCATCTGACAGGAGGGCCCGGGGCCCCCCGTCAGCTCCGCGGGGGCCGCCCCAGTGGGCCCACCCGAAGAGAGGGAGCCTGTCAGGCCAGACAGGGTGCAGAGAGCCTGTCTTACTGAGCAGCCAGGTGGCCCCCAGCCTGTGAGGAGGCTGGCCTCTGACAGGGACCTATGAACAGCTCTGAAGTAGTGGCTGCCCAGCCCTGGACTGTGGCATGGAGCAGCCACCACAGGAAAGGCTGTGTTTTTACTGGAAACTTTCTAAATTAGGCTTATTGCTCCTCTTTTTAAATATCATTTGGGGAAGGGAATACAGAAGGGAAGACAGGGTTAAGGAACTTTATTTAAAAAATTGTTTTCCACAAAAACTTTGAAAGTGTTTTTCACTCCGGGAAGCAAAAGCCATTATCTCTCCCCGCTGCAACCTTCTGGCTATGTCCCTGACTCAGGGAGCCCACTCTTCCACCTCCTTGCCTTCCAAAGACGTCGGGGTCCCAGAGGCCCTGTTCTTCCCAGGAAGGAAAGAACCAAATAGCATTGAGGACATGTGCACAGAGGCTAGTCTGATGTCACTGAGGCTGGGGGATTCTGAGGAGCTGTGATCAAGGACTGATAACTCCCAGCTACAGCAGAGGAGCCCTGCTCTTGTCACTTGCTGGGTCCAGGACTTTCTGAGAACCCTGCTGATAAGCTCTCCTGGTGAGTTGAGGCCATTTTCACCACTGTCTCCATTGGTTTGCCTCCTATCTGCCCCTTTGGACAACTGTCCCCTTATGATGGGGCTGACGTGATGGGTTAGGCAGGGTCCCCTACCTTTCAGTTTGCTCACCCCTGCTCCCCAGGCTGCCCTCACTTTTACCAAAGTCTTCCCCCTGGGTTGGGACAGCATCTACACTAGAGGTGACTTGTCCGTAATACTCCTTCAGGTTCTAAGAGGGAATCTCGTGGGCATCTGTGTTAGCAAGTAATACCATCCCCTTCCCACCCCACAACCAAAGACCAGTCTGAACCCTGAACTCTGCTTTCCAGATTCCCTACTTCTAGTCCAAACCCAAGGTCTCTTGGAGATTGAGAACAGAACATGTAGGAAGCCAACCTAAATGAGTTCTTCATGCCCATGCCATTTCCCTTATAGATGAGGCTTACCTGTCCTCTTTATACACTTTCAGGACCCAGGAAAAGTTTCCACCTTAAAGGCACACAACTGGCAGCCACGTTTCCCCCATGTCTGTAATCCTAGTGTGAGATGTCATCACGGCCTGTGCTGAAGCTGGTGGTACAGAGCTCTGCACCCACAGGAAATCCTGCCCCAGCACCTTTTCCCTGGGACTGAATCAGGCCCTGCTGCATAGCTCCAGGCTGCCCACTGATGGGGGAGACTGCGGGACTAAGGTCCACGTTGGCCCTTCTGTCAGACAAAACAGTTGCTGGGGCCCAACATCAGGCAAGGCAGACTGTAGGCCTTCTACCTGAGTACTGTCCTTTCCTCAGCCAGTGAGTTCTGTCACCCAAGTGCTCTCCTGTTCAGGTACCTGGAGAATCCTGTCTCGGGACCAGGAAATGTCTAGCACCAAGTATGCCTGCCCCTGGCCACTCACAGAATTTATTCCTAAAAGTCTGAGAGAAGGTGATGACACCTATGGGTTCTCAGCCAGAAGGAAAAAAGACACTGGACGTTTGTTCCCTGTGGGGGAAACCCCTTAGTTTTCTACAGGAACAGCTTGCTGATCCACATGGAGGCTTGCAAAGCTGTGTTCTTGAGACCTGAGTGCCAGGTGGGGCCAAGCACATTGGCCTGAACCAAGTTAGTGTGTGTAAAGTAAAAGCAGGTGCACATTCTTCCACAGCTACCTCTTTGCACACATATTTACTATCAACAGATGGTCCTTCTTCCTCCACCCACTCCCCTTCCCCTTTTATAATCACTTCTTGCATAGGGTCATAATTATTTCCAAATATTCCTGGTCCGATGACTTCCTCTTCCCAGTGCAATTTTTCACTTCCTATTCCAACCTCTGGTTCCTGAGCTGAGTTCTACCCTGGAATTGGCCCATCCCTACACATCTTCCTTTGTAAGGGAGATTTTTGCAGGTGGCCACCAAATGGGTAGGCAAGTCACAGCCACCATAGCAAGTAACTCATATTTATTTTGCATAAGATTTTAATTTGTATATTTTTGTGATTTATTTTGGCATTGTTATGAGTTTGACTCTCGGGGAGTTTTGTTGTTATGACTCGTGTCTTTTGTCACAAAACAATGATATTTGCTAAACAATATATGGAATTTATTTTTGACTGGTAATAAAAAATGAAATAAGAAATTGTGGTGAGTCTAAACTTTTCCTATTTGAATTAGTCAATATTCAGTGCCTGTCACAGAAATAGAAGTGACTGATTGTCTGTCACTTGTGTCAGAGCAAGGGGCCAGCATTCTGGGGCAGTTTAGCAGTAGAAAAGAAGCAGAGCCCTGGCCGGCCTTTGAACCAAAACGTTGCTGGTTCAGCTCCTGGTCAGGGCACATGCCTGGGTTTCGGGCCAGATGTTTCTCTGCCTCTGTCTCCCTCCCTTCCCTTCTTTCTAAAGTTAAGCAAATAAAATCTGTTTTTAAAAAGGAGAAATATAATTTATAAAATATGTATAATCAAAGCTGGCCTCACAGGAGTTGCTAGACATGTGCTCAGTTACCACAATTAGAAATCCTGTAAAATGGATACCTCAGGGTCTTCTGCCAGCAGGTGCCAGAGGGGCCAGTTGGAGTGGGCAAATTGCCCCTCCTCTCTACCCTGAAGGCTGAAGGAGAAAGGAGCTTAATCCAGAGATAGGGTCACATTGCTTTATAATGAGCAGTTGCCTCCTGGTCTCAAAGTGAGAGTTCTGATCTCCTGAGGGGAGCCCACCTGAGAGTGACCTCACTACATCCGCTCCTGCAGTGCCCACAGGTGTCTTGGCCATAGTACATGATTTTGTTGAGGCCAGGGGCTCAAGCCAGTTAGGCTTAACAGAGCCACCAAGTTGTGGGGATTGTTTAAAGAAAGGGAGGCACTTGTGTAGGCAGAAAGGACATTCCAGATAAAGGAAATAACATGCAAAAAGTGTATAGATGGGAAGAATAAATGTTATCCATCCATTTGTTCCACATGTTAAAGCCCCTGTTGCATGCCAGGTGCAACCAGCCCCTCAGTGAGTTTAATGAGGAAGACACCTAGAGGGAGATAGTCACGCAAGGACCCTTGGATTCACTGTCTTCTCCACTTGGAACACTTCCCCCAGTTCTTTGTGAGGTTTACCTTGCTTGGTCTGGCCCTGTCCAAATATCACTTCCCTGGAGAAGCCTTCTTAGATCACCCTACACAAACAGCATGATCCTAACCCCTGTCTCTTATAGTCTTGTTTTTCTCCATAGCGCTTACTGCCAGATATTAAAATATGATTTGTGTGTTTCCTGTTGTCCCAATACTGGATGGAACCTAAGCTCCAGGAGAGCAGGAACTTTTATTTCCACACAGTACCAGCACTAGAACAGGACCTGGTACATTGCAGGCTTTCCATACAGGAAATACTTGTTGAATTAATGTACTTATCACCATAAGGTAAGTACTGGATGCTCTTAGGGAGAGACACCTAGTTCTCATAACCTTGACCCAACCTAGTCAAGATGGTGGAGGAAGATCAGCTGGAGGAAGTGATATTTGCAGACAAGAAGCAAGCAGGAATTAGCCAGAGAAGTCACGATAGCTATGAATTTAAAACATACATTTGAATAAAACATGGAAATGTCTTGAACCAAATGACCAGTAGGGAAAATGGCCCATGAAGGGTCAAGGAGGGACCTGCAGGTCAAGTGGCAAGTGTCTCCATTGGTGCTGCGACTAAGCAGGGGAGGGGAAATGGCGCAGATCTGAGGAAGGAGCTGGAGAAGTACAGCTGAGGCCTCTACTGTTAACAGGGAAGCACTCGGTGAGGAGCTTCACCATATTCTGGATTCTTTGTCTTTGGATATTGACAGTTCAAATGACCATTTGTGCTTTCCAAGTGTGATCCAAATTGCTGTGTCTGTCCAAAGGTTTCCTCAACAAAATTAAGTGATAGATAGGTTCTTTCCCCAGGAAGCCTGAGACCAAAGAAGTACAAGTGGAATGACAGGTCCATGAATTGCTGACAGAGCCGCTGTTGCCGAATGTGGCTAGGTGGTGACCTGGGTGGATGACGCCATATTAGGTAGGTGGCATTGAAATACAACATCCACGCCGAGTTGGGCTTTACTTTTCTCCTAGAAAACAACATGAAGTAGCGGCAAGAGTCCCGGTGGGTAGTGATCTCGTGTGTTTATATCTTTTCTTCCAAAGGCTATGTCGTCGTCCCCAGACTACAGCGAGGTTGGGAGTCATCAACAAGCATCTGCCCGAACCTTAGTTTCCTGGAGCCCAGCTCCGGATCTCCCTTCCACATCCTTGCCTCTAGTCGGCAGTTCCCAAAGCGGCACTTCTCAGAAGTCCCGCCCGGAACTTCTCAGAGCTCTAGCCAGGTCTCCCGCACGGGGACTACCACGCAGAGCGCCGCGCCCACACACCCCACAAGCCCCACAGGCCCCACCAGCCCCGCCTCGCCTCGCCCGCACGGCCTGTTTACGCCCTGGCGCAGCCTAGCCCGACCCTGGGCACGCCCCTTAGCATCGCCCATTGGCGCAGGCGGTGCGAGCGCAGCACCGATTGGCCGACAGAGGTGGAGGTAGGCTGCACGGAGGGCGAGAGGGGCAGCGGGCGATGGCGGCAGTGGCGGCGGCGGGGCTGCTGAGCTGGCTGTTGGCCTCGCTGTGCCTGGGGCACGCCGCCGGGGAGGCGGCACAGGGCCCGCGAGTGCTGGGCGTCTGCCTGGAGCAGGCCGGGGCTGCGGGCGCGTCGTGGGCACGCGGAGGGGAGGTGCCTGCTGCGCCCGAGGCCACCTTCCGCTTGCGCTTCTTCGGCTCGGGCTTAGCTAACAGCTCCTGGTCTTGGGCGGTCCCCGAGGGGGCGGGCTGCCCCGAGGGCGGGCCGGCTGCGGAGCCGGGGGAGGCGGTGGCCCCTACTGGCGAGTGGCGTGCGCTGCTGCGCCTGCGCGCCGAGGCCGAGCTCCCGCACTTGGCACTGCTGGCAGTGCGTGGGGAGCCCAGCGGCACGGCAGCTGGAGAAGCGGCGGCGACCTCCGCGGGCGAGTGGCGTGCGCTGCTGCGCCTGCGCCTGCGTGCCGAGGCCGTGCGCACGGAGCCGAGCGTCGAGGCGGCGTTCCAGGAGGCGGTGCCGTCCTGGATGCTAGGCTTCGGGGCGGCGGGGCTGCTAGCACTGGCAGCGCTGGCACGAGGCCTCCAGTTGAGCGCGCTGGTGCTGGCACCAGCCGAGGTGCAGGTGCTGCGCGAGAACGGCTCAGAGGCAGAGCGCGCAGCGGCGCGGCGCCTGGAGCCAGCGAGGCGCTGGGCCGGCTGCGTCCTTGGCGCGCTGCTGCTGTTAGCTAGCCTGGCGCAGGCGGCGCTGGCTGTGCTGCTGTACAGCGCTGCCGGCCATCGCGCCTTGCCCGCCGTGTTGGGCAGCGCAGGGCTCGCGTTCCTGGTAGCCGAGGTGTTGCCGGCCGCCGTGAGCGGACGCTGGACACTGGCTCTGGCCCCGCGCGCTCTGGCGCTCAGCCGCCTGGCTGTGCTGCTCACTTTGCCCGTGGCCTTGCCGGTGGGGCAGCTGCTGGAGCTGGCGGCGCGACCTGGGCGGCTGCGAGAGCGCGTGCTGGAGCTGGCAAGAGGCGGCGGCGACCCCTACAGCGACCTAAGCAAGGGCGTGCTGCGCTACCGGACGGTGGAGGAAGTGCTCACGCCGCTTGAGGACTGCTTTATGCTAGACGCCAGCACCGTGCTGGACTTTGGCGTTTTGGCTAGCATCATGCAGAGTGGCCACACGCGCATCCCTGTGTACGAGGAGGAGCGCTCGAACATCGTGGACATGCTCTATCTCAAGGACTTGGCCTTTGTGGATCCTGAGGACTGCACGCCGCTCAGCACCATCACCCGCTTCTACAACCACCCACTCCACTTTGTCTTCAACGACACGAAGCTAGACGCTGTTCTGGAGGAGTTCAAGCGAGGTAAAGTCCAGGAATCGTGGAGGGAACCCGAAGGCCTTCGCCCTCCCTTAGAAAAGGGATGGAGGGTTATGGAAGCCTTGGGAAGAGGGTCCCAGCCCTGTGGAAGGCAGTGAGACCTCAAAGTGGCTTTTTTTTTAATGTGGCCTTTAAAGAAGATGATGGCCTTGCAGCTTTGAGTGACTTTTTGAAATATTATTTAAAGGCTATCGTTCAGAGGGTGACATTTCTAGAGACAGCAAAACTTCCCTTTTCGTGGTAGGCCCCCAGTTCTGGGAGGTGTGTTCACTAGGCTCTAACCCGCAGCTCTTTCCCTTTCCAGGTCATTTTTATGGGCTATGGCTTTGAAGCAGGTTCAAACTCGTGGATAGAAACTTTAAAAAGTAGAAAAAACTAGTTCTCCAGATAACTTGAAGCTATTATCTATTTACATGTACAGGCATACTTTGGATATTGTGGGTTCAGTTCCAGACCACCACAATAAAGTGAGTCTTAATCTTTTTGCTGGTGGAGGATCTTGACTTCAATTTGTAAAAAATGCAACATCTGAAGAGCAATGAAGTAAGGGATACCTGTAATGTCAAAATAGCTTGGCCTGTTTCCAGGTCAGCATTGTCACTAATGGGCTGCAGCCTTCTTGATTACAGAAAAGTGAGTGATTGGCATATACTTTTTTGTTGGTGTAGATGAAGAGTCCACTTTGATTTGCCAAAAGCAACTTCATGGATACTGATTTAGCCTCTTCTTCAGCTGTCTTTAGAAAACTTCCTCTATCTTTTAGAAAAGTTTCCCCTTTTTAACCCTGTGGTCTCTCAAGTTTCCCCTCAACTACATATTTCATCTTGTTATGTATGAGCAACTCTAAGGTTGCAGGTAAAAACCAAGACTTACTCTACAATGTGAAGGTGTGGTGCTCCTCTGCAGTCCTCTGCATTGCCAGGCTTGGGTGTGCTCCTTAGAGCTTGGCTGCTCCTTGGCCACCAGCTTAAACTCCTGCAGGATGGGCATGGGACACCCCAGGATTCTGGGTGGGCTTGATCCTAAAGCCTGTGTGTGAGGCTGGGAAGTGAGCAAAGCTCCCTGATTTTCTGGCAGCTATAAGGTCTTCCACTGCAGGCTGGCCTGGGAGGTACTTGGTGAGCCCCTGACAGATGGCAAGGAGACAGCTTTGTGGTGATCACTGTGTTAACTCCTGTGTTAGCACTGCTGTATGCCAGAC